TTTTCTCATCTCACAACAAGTTGAAAAGCTGATGTGTTTGTGCGATATTGTTGTTTCCACATCCAGAGTAATTTGTACAATCTGAAGTCTACATGTAGAACAACCAGTATTTAGGTATATTTTTATTTTTCTTCTGATATTTCCTAAATGTTTGCACAATACTCTTTGTTGCTGCAACAATGCAAAACATATCATATCGTATCGTCTCGTCTCGTATCGTCTCGTCTTGTATCGACCATATCGTATTGTATTCAGCACCAACTGGACTGCAACTGGTTGAATTAACTGGTTTAACTAAGCTCTCATAAGCTTAGCATTTCTTCATCATGAATTATTATTCTTTTCAAGCTTATTCTTACTTTTCTCACATTTCTCAAAAGTTTGCAAGGTTCCCTTTGCTGCTGCAGCAGTGCAAATTTCCCCACAGTGGGATAAAAAAAAAAAAAAAGGCCGTATCATATCATCTCGTATCGTATCACCTCGTATCGTATTATCTCATATCATATCGTATCATCTCATATCATATCATCTCGTATCGTATCATCTTGTATCGTATCGTATCATCTTGTATCGTATCGTATCATCTCATATCATCTCGTATCGTATTGTATCGTATCATCTCGTACTGGATCATATCCTTTCGTATTGTACTGTATCCTATCATCTCTTATTGTATCGTATTCAGCATTGACTGGGTTGTAACTGGTTGACTTTAGGTCAAAGTAATCTGAATGAAAACTATTGCACGATTACAGCCTTAATTGAAAACATAATAAACATTCATGTAGCTGCTAAAACACTTTGTGCACAACCTTAGAAAAGCAGTTTAACTACAACTATACACATTTTAGACTCTCATCAGCTCATCACTCCTTCATCCTGCTGTACGTATATATTTACTTCATTCTCTCCATTTCGACTCCAGTTTATCCTCTTTTCCTTTCATCCCCTTCCCTCCATCCGGTTGACCGAGTCTTCCCTCCTCCACCCTCCCTCCCTCTCCAACTCGTTTTCTCCCTCATCCGTCCGTCTCCCCTCCTCTCACCCTTCATTAGCGTCACCGTGTGCAGGCCAACTGTAGCTGATTAGCAATCAGAGTGTGTCTGCGTTCTTGTTTTCGTATCCGTGTGAGGAGGCGCAGACGGACGAGCTTGTGTGTAAGAAGCGTTGCGTGTCGTAAACATGCATTAAAGCCAGTTTTGCATTTAGCTTCTGTGCTACGACGTCTATCTGCTTCATTTTAAACTTTGTGCGCTCCCCCCTCGGTGTCATCATGGGCGCCAGGTTGTGTGTCGCCGGGTGGCCTCTGTAACTCTGGGCTGTAAATGAGCTGGCAGAGGGAGGGATGGAGGGATGGTGGGAGGCAACAGACGGAGGGAGGGAGTGATTGAGCGACTCTGCGCTCTCTGCCCGCCGAGCAACATCAGGAGAAGTTGTCGAATATAAATGACGTTAATGAAGAGCCGAGGAGCGGTTAGCGGGCCGCTGTTTACAGGAAAGCCTTCTTCTTCTTCTTCTTCTTCTTTGTGCTTCCCATCGTCGCTGACCAGTCTGCAAATTACGCCGCTTCACTTTTGAAACATCTGCATGGGAAAAACAGGACATTTACATATTCATTCTGCTGGAAATTGCAGCAGCGTTTTTGCATCCTGATGGTGAATCAATCAAAAGAAATCCCTGGAAAAAAGCACTTTTATAAGACAGAGATGGAACCACTTAAACGAAGCCACACTTTTAAGTACAACCGAAGCTTTTGTTGACAAAATTGTTCCGTGTAATTTGGGGTGATGAGGAGACTTTATTGTCTAGTTCTTGTTTTTTTTGCTTATATTTTTCTATCTCAAGGCCAAAAGTTCAAGAACGCAGAGAAGAGCCGGCGTCGTTTTCGGGGCGGAACGCATTCAAATGCATGCAAAGCCCTGGTTTATGCATACATAGAGACGCTTATTGTCTTTCACTTTCCTGCACTCGCCGATGCACGCAGCCTCTCGTATAGTGGAGATGGATGAGTGTGCGGTGACTGACAGTTGATTCATCGGTCCTGCAGCCACCATACATATTCTAATGCAGCCCCGAGGAAAGAGAAAAAAAACTTGCAGAGTGAGATCAGGACTTTGCTTTTAGACAGCAGGAGGAGAGGGGCCATTATTCTTAGCTAGCATAACGTAGCTGTCAACTGACAAAGCACCTGTCACGGTGGAGGGGAGGGAAAAAGAAAAGATTAATGCTAAGAGACCCCAAACCTCAATCTTAAAATGACTCTTTAAGTCGCAGCGGTTTGAGGAGATTACTGTACGGAGCAGGGGTTTCATTTTCTAAACGCCCGGCCCCTCCATTATGCATGAATTTCTTTTTGCTGCGTCCCACCTGTTAATGAAATCCGGCTTCCCGGCAGGGCCGCGTGTGCGTTCACTCGATCTGTCTCGATCCGTCTGAAACGCGTCGCCGAGAACCCGAAGCTTCATCGATTCTGATCTGCCATTACGTTCACATTACGCTGCGATAAAGAAGAACCCGCGGAGCTTCATTCGCTGTCCGAGGTGCTGATCTCGGGGCCGTTTGAGAAGCGGGAGCTGTCCGTGGTAATTACCCCGGTTCGTCCTGATGAGCGGGATCCTCACAGCGCGGCCTGATGACCAACAGGAAGACAAACAAACAAACAAAAAAAGTTAATTTTCCCTGTCACTGTCTCCATCTGTTGCTCTTTAACCCTTCGAACCCCGGCCAGTTGTTTTCATTTAGCTCCTGTTATTTTTCCCTCACTGTGGGCTCAGTTTTTTTTACTCCAGTATAAAGTTCTGCACCTCAACGGAAACAGAACAACCAGGACTAGAAGGAGAGAAAACAACCTGGATAGGTGCCACAGATCAAGTGCGATAGGACGTGGATGCCGACAGCAGGCTGTGTGGGAGGTAATAGGAAATGATGGAAAAACAACAAAAAAACATTTATTTTATTTTTCATTTAACCAAATTTTAAAAACAACCTTGAATCAACATGTTTTTTTTCCCCCCAAAGCTCCCACAGGAACACTGGAAACCAACTGTGGCTCTACATATTATAAATATTTTACCAAATACAGTTTTAATTCGTCTCAGCCTGCAGTTCAGCCCAAAAAAACTCTCCAATTTTTTGTCAAGTGACTCTTAATCGCAGCTAAATCAATAATGGCTTCACGGTTGTGCAGCAGAGCGTAAAATTATTTGTTCAATGCAGAATCTTATTAGTGCAGAAACTTGATTTTTGGCAATTTTTTAAATGCAAAAACTTGATTTTTTGGCAATTTTGTAAATGAGACACGACGAATAATATGATTTTTGAAATATCGTGATTTTTACCCAGCAGAGGAAAACTCGTAGAATTTTCATCACGTGACTGTTGCCTTTAATTGAGTCTTTAAATCCTTCACGATTGGGTCGAGGATTGCAGAATTTTTTATTTTTAACAGAATCTGTTTAGAGCAAGTAGTTTATTTTTGGCCAATTTTTTAATAAGACACACAAAATATGATTTCAGGCTTCGATTTAGTGAAGTTTCGCAACAGGTGATTACTTCAAGGACCGTCTGTAAATTAAAAAGCCAATTATTTCTTCTGCTTTTGCAGTTTGTAGCTGATAAATGGGGTCATTTTGGCGTCGTATTTTAAAATAACACCATACCCTTTAGCCCTGCCATCAGGTTTTGGGCTTGACTGAGTTTTGTTAGATGGCAAAGACATCACTCAGCCCCTCAGGCAGCTTCATCTCGACGGCTCTGCAGGTTCTCCAGAGGTTCTAATCTAATCTAATTGACTAATAAGTCAGTGGATCCATGGTTGTAGAGAACTTTCTGCGCACACATTGTCACCAGTCGGCCTTTATAAACCATCTTCATCCTGAAAGCAGCGCGCGGTGCTTCACAAAGCGCCACATTAACCCTCTCACACTCGTTCTTACGCCACCGTGGAGGAGCTGGAACGCTCCCTGGTGGATTCGGGGTCGAGTGGGTGACCCACTCTCACACTTGAGCTGCTTTTACCCAAAGTCGTCCCACTGAAAGCCTTAATTATCTCATTACTTAGCCTTTTGCAAAGTGTAGAAAATCTCTTGCTCTTTTTTTTTTTAGTCAACATTTCTCTCCATCGTGTCTCCGCGTTGTGAGTTTTCTCCGTTTGTGTGGATCTGTCATTTAGAAAAAGAAGCGGCCGTCTCTAAAATGTGCTTTTGAAGAAAGGAGAGAGAGAAAAAAAAAAGAAAAGAAGTGGAAGGGTAATAAAACACCGTATGCTTTTAGGCTTGACAGAGGCCATTATTTTAGAGTAGCATAATGTGAAAGTCTAGTGGCAAAGTAGCTGTCAGCAACACGTCAACAAGGTGATGGATTAGTGCTACAGGTAAAGAATTCGCTCTCCGAAATGTCTCCTTTAGCTCTCGGTGGCAGCTGCAGAAAAAAAAAAAACAAAAAGTCAAACGGCGTCTCCTTTTACATTTACGGCACGTTACGAGCGTTTAGACCGCGGAATAAACTCTGAGATTACGCATGAAAGTTAGGACAAAGTGTTGGAATATAAAAAAGGGGTATCGATCATTTTATAGATGGAGATTGATACGGAAACCTTTTTAAAGAACATCAGTCAGCATGAAAATCTTGTGTTTATGGATGTTGTTATTTGGGGAAATCAACTGAGGTCTGAGAACATCTTTTTAAAAAAAAGCAGATAATGAAAATTGTTTTTGTTGATTTATGGAAATGACACGGAGCAGCCCAACGGGGAGGCTCTTCTTTTATTTGTTTGGGATTTCAAACACTTCGACACCATTGATTGGACTTTAATCTAATTTTTAGGGAAGTTATTTATTCAGGTTTTAGCTCGTCTGGGGGCTGCGGCTACGTTCAAAGTGAGGTGATGTGTTTGTTTTCACGTCGGCTCTGAGATGAACTCGGGGGACGACGTGTTTTTTCGACTTCTCGTCTGATTTTGTTCCACCGACTCAACCGATCCCTTCCCCAATTTTCCGCAGCTCCGCCGACCCCCATCGCGCCGCCCGAGCTCCTGGCCGTCGGCGCCACCTACCTCTGGATCAAACCCAACGCCAACAGCATCATCGGCGACGGACCCATCATCCTGAAGGAGGTGGAGTACCGCACCACGTCGGGGAACTGGGCCGAGACCCACGTGGTCGACGCCCCCACCTACAAGCTGTGGCACCTGGACCCGGATGTGGAGTACGAGATCAAGGTGCTGCTGTCCAGACCCGGCGAGGGAGGAACGGGGCCGCCGGGGCCGCCGCTGGTCACCAGAACCAAATGTGCAGGTGAGTGAGGCCCGCTTCGTTTCTTCTCTTCTTGCTCGAGCTGCTTGGTTCTTTTTTTTGATCTCGGCTGTTGAGAAGGACTCTGCTTTGGTCCATTGTGGTTCTAGAAACATCCTCTTCTTCTGCATACTCAAAATATTAAACTGAAGCGCGTCAACCCTCTGAACCCTGAATCCCACCGGCAGGTTTGAAAAGGCCGGTTAGTCTTTGAGGAAATTGGCAAAATTGCTCCATTTATCAGAGACAGAAGCAGGAAGAATCGATGCAGTTTTAACTCTGGGATGCGCCTTTAACCAAATCTAAGCCTAGAATCATGATGTTTGTACAAAAATCAGCAAAAACAAACCATTTGCACCAAACTTGAATGAAGGATTGTGCACTTGTGGACGCAACCGTTAGTGACTCAACAACTAGGCGACGTCTCGGCTGAACTGCAGGCTGTGTGTTTACGATTAAAAGCACGAGACGATGGAAACAGAATATATTATGATGTATTATGGTTTCAGAGTAACCACAGTCCAACATGATGAGACATCACGCCGTATGGATTGTTGCTCTATGTGACTAGAATGATGGGTTTTGGGGTCCTTGAACCGCTGAAAACGACCAAATCTGAGCTTAAAGTTGCAGCATTTCATCAAAATCACTTCACTTTACGTTTCTAATTTTAAAAAATTGCCATAAAATGTTTGGATTCTATTAAAAATGTCCAAAAAAACCGATGAATTTTATGCAATTTTGTGCAATTGTGAAGCTATAAGTGACTCATCTGCAACAAAAACTCACATAGCAAACAATTTAGGCAGAAATGTAGAAAGACAAGTGCAAAAACTAATTAAAAATATCAATTAAAGATCCACAACCTTTATCCAGATTTGGTAATATGTGCTGACATCATGATTCCAGGTTTTTCCAGCTGAATAATCAACGAAAATCAACTTCCTTTTTTGTCTCTTTATATGATTTAATGCATTTTAATTGTAGTGTCGTGCACAATGGCCACGTTGGAGTTACTTCTTGCTACGACTGTGGTGTTTCTAGAGCAGTACAGGGCTTTTAAATGCAGAAAAGATTTGCAGAAACCAGCCTAAAGTGCCTGGAGTTCAGAGGGTTAGCGGTGGAGGTGAATCCGCCGTGGTTTGCATAAGGTTTGGAAATGGTTTGACGTGACTGGAAGTCAGATGAGAGGCAGATGAGCAAAAGAACAAAAGTAGGAAGAAGAAAAAAAAATGTTCCCCCTGAACTCTTCTTCTTTTTCTTCTTCTTCTTCTCGAGGCCGCGAATCAAAGATGATGATAATTGGGATGTTAAGAAGGTGCCCCGGAGATGAAGGAGGGATGGAGTGCACGGGGAGGTTAGGTGGGGGGCAATCACGGCCGATAATGAGCGTCCCAGCGGGGGTGTAAGGACACAACAAGTGGCAGTTCATTTGATAAAGTGACAGCCCATCAGATCCTCGGCGACCCCTCGGTGTGACGGTGTGTGTGTGTGCCGACTGCTTAGCAGGAAGCCTCCGCTGGTCCACCGCCTCGCTGACGCTCGTCTGTATGGAGCCGGCAGCCGTCCGACACTTTCGCTTTCATATTCTGTAGATTGTTCTTCTTTTGGGGTTTCTGCATTGCCATCAAGTCCTCTGTTCCCCCCTTTTGGACCTG